TCCCAGAGGAATTAACTTGGCCAGCAAAAGATCATGAAAAGTTCAAGTGAAATGACACTCTCAAAAAAGTGGAGAATGAGGTGAAAGGCAACGAGTAGACTTGTGTATTCAATGAAGATACTGCTTAGACTGTAGGCTGACTAGTTTCTGGAAATAACCAGAGAATTCCACTGTTGGGAGTGTGCTTCCAAGGGTCAGAACAAATATCAAACAGTGACTTCAGAAAGTATTTCTACAAAGGAGCCAGAACTTCACTGGAGTATTTGATAGAGGAAGTTATGCCCCCTAGCACATTGGTGAAAACAGTAGAACAATAAGCCAGCGATTAATCTAGTTTAACCATGGGGTGCGTCCATGATGGAGGAAGAGAGCCCTACCAGTACCACTGTCTCATGACAGTAGATGTACCCAGAGCCATGCTGGATTCTAGGAGATATATCAGAGGTTTCACTCTATGTGGAGGATACAGACTTAACTAAAGTAATCCACCCAGTCACTGAACAAGCAATTAAGCTAATAACAGTAAAAAGTAAAAGTAGGAAGGGAACCAGAACCCAGAGTTGCTAAAACATATTACCTTAAATTTCTTTTTTGCATCAAAAATCTGAGACGTGAAGATACAGGAAAGTACGAACTATACACTGGGAAAAAAAACAGCAATTAAAAAATTACCCAGCTCTAACAGGAAACACCATTAAATTAGCAAGTGACATCTCAGCAGAGAAAAGAGGTCAGAAAGCAGAGGGATAACATATTCAAAGTGCACAAAGAATAAAACCTGTCAACCAAGAATCCTATATTCACCAAAATTACCCTGCAAAATATAAAGCTGAAATAAAGACTTATCCAGATTAGCAAAAACTGAGAAAATTTATTAACAGCCAGCTGTTTTATGAGATTACTGAAGGAGTTCTTCAGGTTGAAAGCAAGTGACCCAGGATGGAAATTGATATCAACAATAAGAAAGAAAAATGCAAGCATAAGTAATTATGTAAATATGAAAGAATAAATACCTTTTTTCTCCTTTTTCTCTTAGCTATTATCAAAGGAATTGTATAAAATACTACATATTTAATATGCTGTTGTGCTTATTCCATATAGAAATGTAATATATGTGTAATTTGTTTCTCATTAAAAGCATGAAGTTCCGGGGCCAGCCCCGTGGCGTAGCGGTTAAGTGCGCACGCTCTGCTGCTGGTGGCCCGGGTTCAGATCCCTGGTGCGCTCTGACGCACCACTTGGCAGGCCATGCTGTGTCGGCATCCCATGTAACGTGGAGGAAGATGGGCACAGATGTTAGCTCAGGGCTGATCTTCCTCACCAAAAAAAACAAAACAAACAAACAAAAAAAAACAAAACAAAAACCGCAAAGTTCCTGGGTGAGAGCAAAGCTGTGTTGGGCTAAGGAAGTGACTACAAATGGTGTAGAAATAAGTGTAACCATATATTCTTAAGTTATATCAGTAATAGATATAATGTGCACAACAATAATACCACAAAAATGGCAAAAGGCAAGAGAGGAATATAGGAGTAAAAATTCCGTATATCCCTGGAATTAAGCTAGTATGCATTTCTTCTCATCTCTTAGAATATCACTTACACATTTTTGAAAAGCATTTTGTTAATGGTTGCCCTTGAGTTTTCAGTATACATTTACAGCTAACCTACCTCCTCTGCCAAATAACACTTTACCACTTCACTGTTGTGCAAGTTCCTCTTAAGACACATTTCCCAATTTCCCTTTCCTGTTTCTTTATCACGTTTTTGTCATTTATTTCACTTGTCCATAAGCTTGTCATTACCACATGCATTGTTGCTAATATTATTGTAAGCAAAGTGTCATTTGTTGTACTATTTATAAGAAATATAAAAGCTATTTTACCTTCATTTTTTCTTTTTCTAAACCTCTACCTTTGTCATTTACTTTCTTCCTGTTAAATTTTTGAACATTTTGTTCAATATAGGTGCACTGATGATAAATTTCCTCAAATTTTTCCCAGAAAATCCTTATTTCTCCTTTTTTTTGAAGGAGATTTTTTTTGACAGATGTGTAGGGGAGTGCTTGTTTTTATTTTCAAAACTTTTTACTCTATACTCTGTTCTTGTTTTTTTTTTTTTTTTAAGATTTTATTTATTCATTTTTTTCCCCCCAAAGCCCCAGTAGATAGTTGTATGTCATAGGTTCACATCCTTCTAGTTGCTGTACGTGGGACTCGGCCTCGCATTGGACGGAGAAGTGGTGCCTTGGGGCGTGCCCGGGATCCGAACCCGGGCCGCCAGCATCAGAGCGCGCGCACTTAACCGCTAAGCCACGGAGCCGGCCCTATACTCTGTTCTTGTTTGCATGGTTTTTGAAAGGAAGTACAGTTTAATTCAAGTCTTCATTTCTTCATACCTAAGATCTTTCTTCTCTGGCATTTCACAATATATTCTCTGTCTTTGATTTTTCTCTTGTTTGAATATGATATTGTGGGGGTGTCTGCTATTGCACTTTATCATGTTTAGTGTTCTCTGAGATTTCTAGATGTGCGGTTTGCCAACTATCATTAATTTTAGGATTTTTTGTGATTATTACTTCACTTGTTTCTTCTCTTTCTTTCTGTCTTTTCCTTCAGATATTCCCCTTATGTGTATTTTGAACCTTCTGTTAAAGAGGGTTGTTCTAGACTTCAGGGGTATTGTGTTTTTTTTGTTGTTTTTGTCTTTGCATTGGGCTCTGGTGAAATAGACTTTTTCTTTAGTACAGGCCTTGTTAAGAACAGAATATCTGTGTTACATTTCAAAATGCCATCTGTTTTTATCTTTTTCCTAATTTTGGAGACGTTGGTTTGCCCTATGACCTCAAGGCTTACATGGATCTAAGAAGAGTCATTCATTTCAAGTTTGTTCATTTTCTTCTTGTGAGATAAAGAATGACAGCTTCTAAGTTCCTTAAGTGTGGGATCAGAAGTTGGCAGGCATCATCTAGAGTGTCTGGTGAGGAAACACTTTCTGTTGAAGTTGAAGAATGGAGATTTTATGTTCTTTGGAGGAAAGCACTGTGAAATCCTTCATGTATTGTATAATCATCAGCAAATTGACTCTCACACCACTGTGGACTTCAGTGAACTCCCTTACAATCTGCAGCTCTTAACCTGCCCCTCAAGGCCAGCAAGGCTCAAGGTACCCTGTTAGGGTTTGACTGGAAAGAGCTGTTCTGGCACATTGTTATCTCACTGTGTGTTCTAAAAATTGGCATGAATTAGCCTTGAGGCAGTTGAGTATAGGGATTTTATGGTCTAATTTGTCATGCCTTCTTCCTTGTGTCTGAGCTCTAAGTTCCAAATAACTTTCTAGCCCCATCACATCACACAGAGAGAGAAAGAACGAACTGAGTGTATGATAAATATTACACGTTAAAAGTGATGCTTCCCCCCAAGAAGGTTTACATTCACCAGCTGCATCTGATCCCTTGTAATGATCTGGAGGAATTTAGGACAGTGTGACCAGTTGGACTTCATTATAAGTCTGATTTCTACAGGCCTCCTGGCCTCTCTTGTTGGTGATGGGAGTACAGAAAAAGCTTCCAGTTCTTCCCTATGTTTTTATCCATTGAAACCTCATGCAGATTTGCCCCTCTGCCTCATGGAGCGCTGTGACTGGTGGGTAATGAGGAAGAAAAGAACAAATTTTTCTCAGAAGGAATCATCAGTCCTAAAATGATATTTGCTTCATTTCTATAACATTTGTGTCATTTCCTAATATGCTCTGTACCCTGCCATTACAGAGAAATATGATGTAATGAAGTCACAGTAAGAATATGTAAATTCTTTCCTTGTGTTCATAATACTGTTAAATTGATGAGGAAGGATGCATAGAAAATGAGTGACTTTTTGATGATTACAACGCAGAATAAATGTTTGGAGATGACATAATCATATGCAACCTTCCTGCATATGAAGTACAGATCCCCAGTGCTGTCAGCCTTATGCATCTCACTCTACACATATTTGTGATGTTTTAGGACTCAGTGGCCATTGAGGATGTGGCTATGAACTTCACCCCAGAGGAGTGGGCTTTAGTGAATCCTTCACAGAAGAAACTCTACAGAGATGTGATGTGGGAAACCTTCAGGAACCTGGCCTCTATAGGTAAGACTGAGGACATTCCTTCCCTTCATCAGCTAGAGAACAAGTGTTTCTTGCCCATCAGCATGGTTCCCAGATGTAGAATGTGGAAACAAGAGATGTTTGTAAATAAACTAGAAATGGTCATAGCTCATCATGGACGTAAAGCTAAATTTTTTTCTATAACTTCTAATACTTTGGAATCATCTTTCTGGGTCTGCATTTCAGGAAAAATATGGGAAGATCGTGATATTGAAGATCAGTACAAAAACCAAGGGAGAAAACAGAGGTGAGTCACACTTAACAATAGAAAGCAGTGTCTGATGTAAGAATTCTGGTATGTTAGGAAATTTTAAAAGCAAGCAAGGAAAATAAATATCCCTTGCTTCAAATTTAGCTATTAGAAAATTTTCACCAAATATACTTTCTGAAATGTGATGTAGAGGATCAGTTTTTGCAAAATAGTTCGCTTAGAAACAGGATTAATAAATTCTGTATATGAATATCACTGTTTTGATAACATGAAGGGTGAAAGCCTCTTGTAAAGCATTCATTATATTTAATTTCTGAGAATTGAGACAAGACAGAAAACCTAAACTTTTCTTGTGAATCATAATAAATATAATAAACATAAAATTATTAATAATGTGGTTCTTATTTCTTACAGTGGTCATACAACAAGGAGACTCTGTGAAAGTTTAGAGCATAGTCAATATGGAGATAAATTCAGCCTTACTCCAAATCTCAATCTGAACAACAAAACTACAGGAGCTAAACCATGCGAAAGCAGCTCATGTGGAAACGTCTTCTTGCATCATTCATCTCTTAAGACACACATTCAATATCACAATGAACACAAGCTATATGACAGTCAAAAATATGGAGAGAAGCCATGTAAATGTAAGGAATGTGGGAAAGCCTTCCCTTTTCCCAGTGCTCTTCAAAGACATGAAAGAACTCATACTGGAGAGAAACCTTATGAATGTAAAAAATGCAGTAAAGCATTCACCTCTTCTAGTTACCTTCAAATACATGAAAGAACTCATACTGGAGAGAAACCCTATGACTGTAAAAAGTGCAGTAAAGCATTCACTTCTTCCTGTTCTCTTCGAGTACATGAAAGAATTCATACTGGAGAGAAACCTTATGAATGTAAAAAATGCAATAAAGCATTCACTTTTGCCAGTTCACTTCAGTTACATGAAAGAACTCATACTGGAACGAAACCCTATAAATGTAAAAAATGCATTAAAGCATTCACTTCTTCCCTTTCTCTTCAAGATCATGAAGGAATTCATACTGGAGAGAAACCCTATGAATGTAAAAAATGCGGTAAAGGATTCTCTTATTCCAGTTCTCTTCGAGTACATGCAAGAATTCATACTGGAGACAAACCCTATTCATGTAAAAAATGCAGTAAAGCATTCACTTTTTTTGGTTCCTTTCGAAGACATGAAAGAATTCATACTGGAGAGAAATGCTAAAAATGTAAAAAATGCAGGAAAGCATTCACTTCTTCCTGTTCTCTTCAAGATCATGAAAGAATTCATACTGGAGACAAACTCTATGAATGTAAAAAATGCAGTAAAGCATTCACTTTTTTCAGTTCTCTTCAAAAACATGAAAGAATCCATACTGGAGAGAAACCCTATCAATGTAAAAAATGCAATAAAGCATTCACTTTTCCTAGTTATCTTCAATTACATGAAAGAAGGCACACTGGAGGGGCCATCCCCGTGGCTTAGCAGTTAAGTCTGCGTGCTCCGCTACTGGCGGCCCCGCGTTTGGGTCCCAGGCACGCACCGACACTCCTCTTGTCCGGCCATCCTGAGGCCGTGTCCCAGATACAGCAAATAGAAGGATGTGCAACTGTGACATACAACTATCTGCTGGGGCTTTGTGGAGAAAAAAGGGAAAATAAAAAAAAAGAAGTCACATTGGAGAGAAAGCCTATGAATGTCAGGAAAGAGGTTAAATCCTTTGTGATGCCAACTTTTGAGAATATGCAAGAATGCACACTAGAGGAAAAACCATGTAAAGGTAAAGAATGTGGGAGAGCTTTTGTCATCCCAGTTCTTTCTGAAGGCATGAAAGGACTCAGTTGATAAAAACCTCTGGAATGTAAACAGCATGGGAAAGACTTCATTGGCCTACGTCCTATGCGAAACTTCCAACCAGAAATAAATATAAATAAAATGTAAGTAACATGGGAAACTTGATGGAAATTAACTTGTATATGATGTTCTAGAAAACTTTCAACATGAAAGAGTTATAAAAGTTGTAAATATATTGTGTTTACCAAGCCACTTCAAGTGCAACATTGCACTGTGGGTTTCTATTAATAACTTTCAGAAGTGAATATTGAGGTGAGATAATTCTGAGTCATCCTTCATCAATACTACTTCAAGATTATTAGGTGGTGCTTTTTTCTTAATTCAGTTAATAATATTTTATCTTGGGGCTGGCCCAGTGGTGCAGTGGTTAAATTCACATGTTCTGCTTCAGCGGCCTGGGGTTTGCCAGTTCAGATCCCGGGTGCAGACCTGCTCATGGCTCATCAAGCCATGCTGAGGCAGCGTCCCATGTAGAAGAGTAGATACACAAGAGCTTTGTGTATCACTGTACAAAATGATACACAACTATGTACCGGGGGTGGGGGAGAAAATGAAAAGAAAAGAGGAATATAGGCAACAGATGTTAGCGCAGGGCCAGTCTTCCTCAAAATAAAACAATAATAATGTTTTCTCTTTATTTTTTAATAAGGTTTTAATTGTTCTTTTTTAAAAGGCCATTGAGAAATGACAGTTTGTAGTTGTTGGGATTTTCTTCCTGGCCTTGTATTGCAGATTTGCCTTATCCACTGTGCATTTTGTACCTCTCTTAGAGAAAGCTCCTTTTTGGGGTGGTGGGTATAGAAGCCTGTTTTTATTTTCCATACTATGGAACAGTTGGAATAAAGTTTTATGAATGGCAAGTTTGTCAAAGGATATACTTTCCTGTGAATTTCTTTTCACATTTGGGCCTTTGCTCTTTGTCCTTCCTTCTGACTGGTATTTGGTGAACAGACTTTGAGTTAAGTAGAGGCCTGTGATAGGGCAACAATTTCTACACTACCTGTATTGTGTTATGTCAATGTGGGTAATATTAAGAACTGGAGCTTTAAGAATCCCCTCCCCTTTGTACTTCCATGTTGGAATTCACCAGTAGTGTCACTTGCATGAGATTTGGAAGGCAGAAGCAAACAAGGCATTGGTGAGATTTTGGAGCCACAGTACAAGGAGAGAGACTGTTACATAGGAGCTTCAAGGACACTGTCCTCAATCCCATTTTCTGAATTCTTTGCTCTTCTTTTATCTTGAAAAGCACCACCAACTGTTGGGACTTCCATTTTCTTAGAGTTGTATTTTCCTCTTATATTTTCACAAGCTTCACATCAAAGATCCATTAGAGTTAGGATTCTTCTCTAAGGTCTGTTGTGTCCATCAGGAATGTAATTCAGACTTTTGTGGTTGGGAGTATTCTCTGATACCATAGGTGACAGCTGTGTAAGGTCTGATGTGTATAGGAAACACCTATGCTGTTAACAGTGCTAGTGAGCATGTTTCCTGATTCGCCATGTCATCTCCAGTGGGGCATAAACAGAAGGACATGGGAGTTTTGTTTCTCTGCTACATTGTGCAGTGGCTGCCTTGACCCGGTTCTTCCATGTGAAAACAATCCCCTTTCTCATGTCAAGAAGACTGTGTGTTTCCTGTCACTTGTAGCTGAATGTATTCCCTCAGTATGTTTTCTTTTTTTGTGTGTATGTGAGGGTATCAGCCCTGTGCTAACATCTGCCAATCCTCTTTTATTGCTGAGGAAGACTGGCCCTGGGCTAACATCCATGCCCATCTTCCTCCACTTTGTATGGGATGCCACCACAGCATGGCTCGCCAAGTGGTGCGTCGGTGCACACCTGGGATCAGAACCGGCGAACCCTGGGCCGCTGCAGTGGAGCATGCGCACTTAACCGCTTGCGCCACTGGGCCGGCCCCTCAGTATGTTTTCATTACTGTTTGATTGTATGTCGTTAAAACTATGTGTTTCCTTGTGAAATGAACACTTCTGTGGTTGTTTTATTGATATATTTTATCAACTGTTCTAATCCAGTGTATGCTAATAAATATTATTGTGGTTTTATTTCCTCAGAATGTATTAAAATTCATTTTAATTATGGATTTTCAGATATACTTTGCAATTTTCTGCATTTAATCATTATACATTATGAGGCAACTTTGCCATTTGCATACAAATTCAGGTATGTTTTCCTCACGCAAACTTTAATTTATATTCTTTTATAGTTACTGTTTTTGTCGTGAAACTAATTTTCAAATTTATTCTTAACACAAAACTTAAAAACCATGGTTTTTTAACGCCCTCTTGCCACTGACCTGCAAGACTGCAGCTGTAGTCAAAGAGAGGGGTGCAGTAAATTCTAAGAAGATTGACCACAGACCATAAAGGACTGTGAGGTGTAACAGTGACAGGGTGCTCAGAAATCCTCCTTACAAGATGTTGGCATGTGGTTGTGGATTTGATTGCTATTCAAGGAGGAAGGTTGTTTTCTCTATTGGATGCTGTGAGGAGGTAAACCTAATTCTATCTTTGTAAGCGTTTTGTCCTTGATAAATATAATCATTCTTTTCTAGAAGGCAAAACATTGCAGTGGAGCAAAAGTTATTTTCTAAGAAGTGCCAGTCTTTTTAGTGAGAAGAAGGAAACTTAGTCATATTTATGATTTACAATTTTATCTTTTACTGTTTGTACTGGTATGTTACAGAATATTTTTAGTATTGTCCTGGTGACTGTACCTTTGATGAGGGAGGTGTGTGAGATTTTTCTTTTCAGCAGGATGAGACTTGGCCTTGCAGTGACTGCAGGCAGCCCCTGGTCCTCTGGGACAGCTTTTGCCTTTCCTGCTTATTATCAAAACACTGATGTATTTCCTGTGGCATATTAGACACTGTTGACAATGAAGTACCTCAGCTAAATTATATAAATTCACTTCTTAGTATACTACATCATATTTTTAATATCTCCTTTATGACTCAGTGGACACCTTTGAGATTAGTTGAGTTGTGAGACCATATAAACCTAGCAAGGGAGAGAGACAGGAGCACTCTGCCAATCAAGCCTTTCTTTCTCAGAGACTATGCTTTTGATGCTAATGTTTCAACATCCCTCACATGCCATGTTGTACCCAATTTACCATAAACGAGGCATGTTCATATTTGGATATAGTGCTTGAAACAAAGAAATTCTTGCAGTCCTGGTACTTGTATATTTGTGGGAAAAGAGAGATGATGACAAATACTAAAGCTTTGTTTATAAGATAGAGACAAGGGCTTTGAAGGAAAGTAAAACATAACATTGAGCTAATAGGCAGGCTGAGGTGTGTACATATCTCTTCTGTGAGGGTAGGAGTGAGTGAGGGTATCGTTGTTTAGAGGTAATCATCTAAGGAATAATTGAGGGAAGCTGCAGAGATATTATTTTGAATAATATCCTAATTGAGTATAAAAGGAGAATGGGAAATTTTCAATATCTTTTCATCACAGGAGTGGCTGGAAGTCTAGTTTCCATGATCCACCAAGCCCGGGAGCCCATTTAGCTGTTCACAGGTTTCATTTCCTTATGCTTAGATGTCCAGCACATGGTGTGGAAAGGTAGGAAACAGCAGTAACAGCTTCAAGATTTAAAACAGCAAAGGAAATTGAATATTTTCCTTTATTTTAGCGTTAACTTACATATTGGATGGGTTTCGTTCAAATAGGCACCACAGGAGTGTTCTTTTGGAGTGATGGGATGTTTTTCATCTTTTGATGACAGTATTTCTAGACGTTTGTGAAAACTCATGAAGCATGTAAACTATTTTATATATGTTTATATATGTGCTATATATAATTATTAGAAAATGAATAATATAATTGATTTCATATGCTAGGAGAATGTTAGGCTCTCCTGAACCTTGATATTTATCAGCTCTTCTTTCCAGCACTGTGGCATCCTTCTGAGGAAGATTGCAGGACTGGGCAAGAAGGACTTTCCTGCAACCCTGTCTTAATTGAAAAAACACCCTCTAGGTTTGCACCTGCCCTCATCTCATACTCATAACTAGGAGTGAAATGAAAGGGCTTCCAGAATCTGTCCTTGAGTTTAAATCAGGTTCTGTGGACAGATCTTTAGAAATACTGTGGTTCTAAAATAATAAAAGTGTATCCCAAGTGGGTTCTGCCCCGGGACATCCTCAGTCATGTGCATCAGCATCATTTCTTTCCCTGCCATCCATAGACCATTTCCAGCTGTTCATTTCCCAAATCAAGCCTACCCTGTGCCTGCTTACTTGGAACCATCTTTAGAAATCCACACGTGTCCCCCTCTGGAAAATTTCTCTGAGGCAACAGGAGGGGCCTGTGAGCTGAGAGGGGGACAGAAGCTGTGGTAGAACCCATATCACGGGCACATTCTGTCAGCTGTCAGCCACAGTGACCACAACATCCCATATTTATCGGATCTGCTTGCTTACTTATTCATACAACACTTAGAAATTGACTGACTTTGAGTTGGAAAACAAAGGGCTCTAGAAAACTTTGAAATAGCTGTCTCTCCATTAGGATCTCCCTTCACTCACCCCTTTACCATAAAGGCTT